CACTCAGCAAGCATATGGCCCATGCAGGGATGCATCAATCGTGACATTACGTGCACTGTATTACATGTAGCCTCTGGGAGACGATTAACCCATAAAGCTGCCATGAGCTTTTATTTTGAAGGCGCACTCGGTTTCTTAAATACCCTCCCACGGCCTTGATGTTAAAATACCAAAAGCCGTCTTTGCTTTTGTGATTGCTACTGTCATTATAAATGATCAGCCAGTCTTACAGCCCGCTTCTTCGAATCGTTGAAATGTTATAGTTCCCATTTCCTAAACGGTCATTGGTGGGGTTTTGTTTTTCTTTTCTTTTTTTTGGATATTTTATAGTCGTTCACTGCATCACGATCTCTAAAACATTTCCTGACGTGCTCGTGGAAAGGAGATAAAACCGTTTAGCGAACTGTCACCTGTCTAAAAGCCTCCCTCTCTGCCCTCTCGCGCTCCACATTCATCCTCCGCAGGTGTCAGATCCGCCATCAGTGGAAACGACCCGTTCACATTCCCACTAAAACCACCAGAAATCCACGATTCCTCGTCTATCACACCAGCTCCGGGAGGTGACATTTACTCATTTACCTGCATGTCAGTGGAGGAGAGGCCCGGCTTCGGCTGCCGTAGTGTACATCGCCCCTGTGTCTGCGCGTTCTCGCCCGGATCGGCTCGGTTTGTCCCTCCAGACACAACTTGCTCGGATTACAGAGAGAGCTCAGCCCCTCCTTCTGCACCGTGACATCAGAGCGGATTAGCGATGCACAAAGCGCCTTTATGAACACTGCTGATGTCGGTGGTGCAGACACAAGCAGCTCTTTACGGCCGTGAGCTCAGTCAGCCTCATCCCACCTCCTCCATCAGCAGACAGCAGCCTGCAGCTCTGCAGCACCGTCACACTCTCACGGGCTGTCGGAGGGGTCGCTGTTATCCTTCTGTTGATCTCCCCGGTGTCATCCGTTAGAAAGAAAACACCTGTGAAACCTGCGCAGGTACACAAAGAGGTAACATATATATATTTGAAGGCCAACTTCTTTTTAATAGAGCGTTTTCAGATTTTCCACGATGCATAAACCAAAATAAAGTAAAATAATAACAAAAAAGAAATAGAAAAACATCTGAATTTTGAAGACTAAAATACGAAATAAAATAAAATAAAATACTTACACATTTAGCGCAACAATATGGACATTTTTTGAGAAATAAATTGGCAAATTTGCCTAAAAGAACAGCAAATTTTCTAGAAAGAAATTGCAAATTAATAAGAAAAAATGGGGAAAAAATAGCAAATTTAAGGAAAAAATCTTGGCAAATTCACGTGTTAAATAATGGAAATTTTATTTAATAAATAATAAACTGGCAAATTTACCAGCAAGAAAACAGCATTTTTTTTTAGAAAGAAATGGGAGGTCGAGAAGGAAAAGAAAGAAAGAAAAGTATTCACAAAGCTTTAGGAAAGGAATAAAATAAAATACTGGCAAATCTAGAGCAACAATTTAAAAGAAAATTAAAGACAAATCGGCAAATTCACACAAAAAACACAAATTTATGTGTTGAAAAACAAAACCTCACAGATTTTAAAGAAATACATTTGAAATCAATAAGAAAAAGAGAGAAAATGCTTTGAGAAAAATATCTGCAGCCTTTAAAAAAGTGAAAATATTAGGAAAAATAAACTAGCAAATGTACTAGGAAGAAATGATAAAACAATAAAAGAGAGGTGGGTGACAAAGTGTTGACTCTCCTACCCGTTCCTGGATCCTCTCTCCAGGCAAAGTTCTGTGGGCCCTATACTGTCCAAGAGAAACTGAGTAACACAGATTATGTTACAGGTACCCCAGACCATAGGACAAAGTGTTGTGTGTGCCATGTTAATCTGATGAAGCCTTATGTTGTTTGTGATGCAGGTGTAAACTCCTCTTCATCCCCCTCTTCATCCCCCGCTGCGCTGTGCTGTGTTCCTCCTGAAGGAAAAAAGAGGGAACACACGCATGTAAAGGAAGCACTCAAAACGTGCAGTTATCCTAAATGGGTGTTCTTAAAGTCAGCAGAGAGGCACAGAAAAGAAGATCAGACACCAGCGAGGGAGGATAAGAAGGACAGACGCAACAACATTGTCATCCCCTATGTAGCCGGTGTATCAGAAAAACTCAGGAGAGTTTTCTCCAAGCATGACATCCCGGTGCATTTCAGACCCAATAAGGAGCTGGCTCGCGTCGTTCACTTCAAAGAGTCGGGTCTAAGGGCCGTTTCGTTCACGACGACACATCATTACCCAGCAGTATGTAAGTAACCGATGCAGCATTAAACTGCAGCATTAAAAGTAAATACACATTAACCAATCAATAGTTATGATTCAGTCGCGTAATACATACAGGCTTCTTCACGCTGAGTGCTTTCACTTCAGCTACTTTATTTTAACGCTAAAACATTTGTGCTATTACTTACAGAGATTTATGATTTTTTTAATGCAAACAGTCTGAATAAATGTTTCACCGCGTTGACAAACAGATATTCAACAGCAGCAGCGAGGAGAGCATTCAGTGCTGCCAAAGCAGCAGAGGTAGTTTGTAATAAATTACAGGATGACCCCAGCTTTAATAACAGGACCATCCTCAACACCGACCAAGTGTTAAAAGCACTGTACGAATGTGTATGTGTGGGTGAGTAATGCTGAGATTGAGTAGAAAACAAAGAATCAAAGCCAGCTTTCATCTGTGTCACAGTACAGGGCTCTATTAGCCTGTAAATAGTGCACAATGTTTTCTACGCTACATTTATTCCTGATGAAATATTCAAAGTTGCCGTATTCTTGCCCCCCGAAACGCTCTGATTGGGTATCGAACTTGCGATATATATATATATATATATATACTATCCAGCAGCTGGATAGCGTAGTGGTTAGACTACACGCCTTTGGAACAGAGGATCCCAAGTTCGATTCCTGCCTGGGGCGTCTGTATTCAGTAAGGGTCCTAAGGCTAGACCCCCTATGCTAAGC